TAAGAGACAGGCTTATAGGCCTATAATATAAAGGGGGAAAAACGCACAGCGATATAAAGGACCATGGCCTGAATAGTTCCAAATTCAAATTTTGTTGATGGCTTTAGGTTACAGTCAAAATCGGTAATATTATATTTGCTGTGTAGGCCTATATCATTGTTGTACTTTAATGTTGATATTGAGCCCCAGTGACAGTTACTGAACTATTGATTAACAGTTTATGTTTATATCTAGGCCTAATTGCCTACCACGGAGAAAAGCTGTTTGCTTACTAGGGTACAGATTCTGTAAATACTGGAATTTTTCAGAATATACTTGAACAATTAGATTTCTTGAGGCTTAAAATCAGACTCTAGAAGAAAAAAATTTGTTGTTTGAATATATAAAGACTAAAGGAAAATGTGTAAAAAGGGGCGATTACGCAACTTTTCCCCTACTTGTTAAATATTCAAAAATCCGGATCTCATTTACCGTTTCCCAGTTATTCCTCAAACAACTTTTTTCTGTCTTAAAAAAATCGGTTCAACAACATACCAACAATTTTTCTCCTCCGGACCAGACTTTAGTGATAATGACTGATAATAATATAAGATTTTTAACTCTCTTATTCTAATTCCTAAATCAAATATTTTAATATCTTTTAATTCAATGGAACTTTTAATATTTTTTTTTTAAATCTTATACAGTATTTATTCTGTATTGTGTTCCTGTGTGGAGAACCTCCTGACTGTTACCGATATGTTTTTATAACATTTATGTAATCCTGCCTCGTTGAATTACGTTCATAAGGAATAAATTATTTAATGTTATTTAAATCATGTAAATTGCGGTCTTTTGTATAAGAATGAAATCAATTTAAAGAAGAATGTGGATTGGTGAATAATAATAATAATTATAATTATTATTATTACTGTTAAATACTGACGATACTGATTAAAAATATATTACTACGGTATAAAATCAAATAATATACAAAAGAAGTGACGTTGCTGCAAGTGTCAGTAGTCTACATACGTTCGGCAAGCCTGCTCATGACCTGTCTCACTTCTGCCGACCGTTTTCAAAGTTTTCGAACGTATCGTATATAACTCTATTTATCCTCGCATTGCTCCTTACATTGCTGATCAGCAACATGGCTTTATGTCCGGTAGGTCCTGTGAGACCAACCTTGCGTGTCTCCTTGCACCAGCCTATGAAGCCATCAAATGTAAGAAGCAATGTGACGTAATTTATACAGATTTTTCACGTGCATTTGACAGAGTTTCGCATGCCCTGTTACTTCACAAATTACACAATTTTGGTTTTCGTGGTAGTTTACTTTCCGGGTTCACTTCTTATTTGAATGGTAGGCAGCAGAGAGTCCAGGGTTTATCACCGGAGTGGCATAAAGTTACTTCAGGTGTTCCACAGGGTTCTATCCTTGGGCCTTTACTCTTCAATATATACATCAATATCTTATTCCTCTTTTCAAACACTCTAAGAGCCTCCTCTATGCTGACGATCTTAAACTCTATAATACTATCTCTTCGGTCGAGGATGCTAGAGGGCTCCAGGAGGATTTGGACACGTTGTACCGTTGGGCGTCAGCGTCTTGTATGATACTACATCCCGACAAGTGTAAGGTTTTATCAATTACATTGAAAAAGCATCCTTTGAAATATGACTATAAAATCAATTGCAATGCACTCATTGATGTAGATTATCATAAGGATCTTGGTATATTTATTGATTCGAGGTTAACGTTTACTTATCATATTAATTTTATTACGGCGGGGCCAACAGTCTTAGGAATGATGTGGCGCAATTGTAGATCTTTTGATATTCCTACAAAACGTTTTCTTTATCTCACACTGGTTAGACCATCTTTAGATTTCTGTTCTGTCATTATTAATTCAATATCTAAAAGTAACTCTAAACGAATCGACAGGATACACTTTAGGTTCTTGTGCTTCATTAGTCCTGAAACATTTGGCCCTCGTCGTATTAACAATCGTATTAACAATAATATAATCAATTTCAATGATGCCATCATTGACTCGGTCAATAAAAAGTTAAATGTTACTTGTCCGTCTTCTAAACGTATGTACCTTGATCTTTTGTTCCTGTTTAAATGTGTGAATTCGTTTGATTGTAACCTTATCTCCTACTTCTCATTTAAAGTTCCTGGTCGTCGTCTTCGTCAACGTGATTCATTTTCTGTTCAGTTTTGTCGTGTTAATGTCTGTAAAAATGGTTATATTTCTCGATTATCTTGTTTGTATAATGATTTTGTTACCAAATGTCCTGAAGTTGATATTTTTTCCAATTCTTTAGATATGTTTAAATGTCACCTTAATAATAATAATAATAATAATAATAATAATAATAATAATAATAATAATAATAATAATAATAATTTTATTTTTTATGTCTTGTGAGTTTATAGTACTGATTTATTATATTTTCTATATATTTTTATTACAATTTTCGCCTGTAAGTGGGAACGAAGAGTTCCTGTAGGACGATTGAAATAAAATAAATAAATAAATAAATAAAAGTCCGAATCTTGACATGCCCAATATATTTTATTGACAAATTCTCGGCGCACAAAGAGATATCAAACAGAAAACCGACTATGCCATAGTTACGCACGGCACTGCTTGCATCAAGTTAATCCCCAACACTCCCGCGAATTATTGACGGTTTAAAAGAAAAAATGTAGGGTTACTCAATATAAAATTTGTTATTTTCTGCAGTAAAGAAAATTAATTAAATTAAATTAAATTAAATTCTTAATTGTTAAAATTGCCAGATGTCGTATGTGTACACATAAACCTATAGCAGGTACCGTACCTTGTTAGCCGTCAGCCATCTGGGCCTGCTGCACGTGGTCTGTTTACAATATAAATTCGCACTGGTCTAGTCTATAAATACAATTTTCTTTGGTAATTGCCACAAGTCTCTTATTTTTTTATTATTTTTCTAATTCTGGACAGCGCCACCAAGAAAGTTAATTTAAAGACGGAATTATTCGAAAAAAAAAAATCGAGAATGGGACGCCAAATAAATTAGGTATGGCGCGCACTAAGTGCAATAAAGAGTGAGTAACCTAAAATTAGGGCCTGGAACCCAAACTTTGGGAGCACAGCTATTAGTTGATTAGTTGAGTTGGACGACATGAAATGTCTGGACTGCAAGACTAGTAAGTACTTTCGAGTACGAATATGAACAGCAGCCATTAGGCCGACTTTAAAAAAGGCCTAGTCTATTTCGTTTGCGCGTGTGGGGAAGGCAATCTAGACAGGTTAAGAAAGGGTAGTTAAATTGGGATTTAAAGTTGTTAAAGATATTAAAAAATCATTCACTGCTAAGGAGATAATGTGCATATAAAACTCAAATCTTGTAAAACTGGAGTTAAAATTGAGGGTTTAAGGCCTATATACGAATCATTTTCCCGTCTCAAAAATTACGCAGTCTCGGAGATTCTCTAGAAGGGAATCGTCCCCTCAGCCCATGCTCAGAGTTATACCTACAGTGCTTGTCTTTCGTTGAGAGGTAAGCAATTTTATTTATTTTGCAATGAATGAAATGGGGATGTGTCAGGCTGTGAAATATTCCCTGCGTAAAATTATTAGGCCCGGAAATCCGTCACCGCTTTTCGAAAATATGTGAGCCGATTTCCACGGATATTTTGCAGCAAATTGAGGCCTTGATAGTAGGAACACAAGTATTTACGATTTTGTGCATCTATTTTTCTAGAGGTTTTCCAGTTTTGTAGTTAGTATTGGAAAGATCTGCAAACGGGTACTACAATATGGCCATCCCCTCCCCAAAATAACGACATAAAGCACAGTCCCTGTAAGCGTGTGGCTGGGAACTATGTATCGTGGGAATCAACCATGCATTAAGAAAATTTTACTCTCAGTTGTCGTGACGACGGCTTTTAAGCACGCAAATTAATGTTTATTTTATTTAAATTCTTCCATATTACACATTTGTGAAATTCTTGCAAATTACAGAAAGAGAAAGAAAAACATTTTGCGTGATCAATGCAATATGCATGTAGGCCTATTAAATCTGTAGGGCCACAGCAAAAATACTTTACTTTTGTGTTATTTTTTTATGATTATTGCGCAATAATATTGGGACAAGTAAAATTGTCTTCAGGACAAGTGCATTTTTCAAAAGTACTTGTCCGGGGACAAGTGCAAAAATATGAAATCCCCTCATGCCTGAAATGTTATATAAAAAATGATGTACGAAATACAACATTATGTTACATACACATACATATACATATACACACATATATATACACACACACACACACCATTATTATATACAGTAATTAGGAAAAACGTAAGGTAACAGATGTACTGTGTACAGCTACAGTATTGTACGCTGATGATAAACTAAATTTTAAAAATGTAATTAT